TCGCCACATAGCGCGCCTTGAACACAGGTGGTGATCCAGGCGGCCGCTTCACCTTGTAGAGCCATCGGCCACTGACGACGTTCGTCCCAGGTGGTGGGACTGCGTCGACATAAGTGCCTGTGGACCTATAAGATGCCATCTTTGCCTCCTCAGCTACTATCCTGTACGAAGCCTAGAGTCCCGAGACCGCCTCGGCATGAGTGCGAGGTATCGGGATGTCAAGGGCGTCTGGATCTCCCTCAGGGGCAAGTAGCATGGCGCAGAGATGAGGAACAACTGCCGCAAGGAAACCAAGCTCGAAGTGCCTCTCCTCGAGGACCTCCAAGGGAAAGAGAGGAGCACCCCCAGAGAACGGAGAATGAGCAGGGCCACTCACCACGTGAGCGGCATAGTCAAGGCGGTGAGAAGAGGCAAAGCCAGCGACAGTGGTAACAAGAGCTGAGACAGACGATAGGGGTGCAGTCGGGTGAGCCACAAACGCGGACAAAACACGGGAGACGACAGGACGGGAGGCACGGAGGTAGTCGGACAACGGGTCATGAAGCACAGTGAGGGATGACTCAGGCGGCTGTGGAAGGACAGGTGAAGGTGGAACACGAGAGCGAAGAACAAGGTGGAACGGACCGTTTGCACGGTAACGGGAACGACGACGCTCTGGGGACACAGCACGACTGAGAGGAGAACGACGAGTCCACTGGGACGAGGAAAGGGACTCAAAAGGGGGAACAGGAGGGGATGGTAGGGGTCGGGGAGGTCGCGTAGTCGCAGTCGCTGCTGCTCCGCCTCCTCTGGCGTCTGCTGCGACGGTACCGGCCCCTGCTACTGCACCTGTTGCTCCGCCTCTGCCCTCTCCTGCTTCGACTGCAGCTGCACCCGCTGCTGCAACTGGGACTCCTGCACTACCCTCTCCTGCTGCGGCCGTGACTCCTCCTCTACTCTCTCCTGCTGGGTCTGTAACTCTACTTGCTGCTGCGGGTGGGAATCCTGCGCTACCCTCTCCTGCTGCGGCCGTAACTGCTCCGCTACTCTCTCCTGCTGGGTCTGTAACTATACCTGTTGCTGCGGGTGGGACTCCTGCTCTACCCTCTCCTGGTGCGGCCGGGACTGCTCCTCTACTCTCTCCTGGTGTGTCTGTAACTGCACCTGCTGCTGCGGGCGGGACTCCTGCTCTACCCTCTCCTGGTGTGGCCATGACACCTCCTCGACCCTCTCTTGCTGCGGCTGTGACTCCTCCTCTACTCTCTCTTGCTGCTGCTGCTGCTGCTGCTGCTGCTACTTTCGCCCAAAAAGAGTTGGAATTTGGTGCGTCGGATCGAATTTCTTCTCAACGGCCGAGATCAGACGCGAATTTCGACTAAGGGAGAATAACGCGACCTACAGAATCAGCCCTCGTCATTTCTGCAGTCAACTCGACTCACAGTAAGATGACCAGCGCCTAAAATTCATATATTTTCGTCGCAAATCTTCTTATAAATCGCCAAATGGAGGAAAACGGTGATAATTCCGTACGGAAAATTACGGAGTTACACACCGGCCTGGACCAGACGCGAGCCGCACTCCAGCGAATAGAGGAGCTTCTCGCGAACCAGTCGGCAGCCGCCATAGCAGCAGCGAACGCAGCGGCGAATGCGGCAGCGACGTCAGCAGCAGCAGCGGCGACATCGAAACATAACCCAGCAGCAGCGGTAGCAGCTACAGTGAATCTTGAGGCACGTGCAGCAGCGCGCACGGGCAGGGCGGCGCTGGGCAGCGAGTGCAGGCCCGCGGCGGGCGCAAAACGCAGGCACGGCGGGCGCAAGGGGTGGACCCGCGGCGGGCGTAGCGGACAGGTGCGGGAGGGGCGAACGGGCAGGCCCGTGACGGGCCTAATGGTAGGCGCGGCGGCGCGAAGGCAGGGCCCATGGTGGGCCTAACGGGCGGGCGCGGCAGTGGGCGTAACGATCAGGCACGACGGCGCGAAGGGAGGGCCCGCGGCGGGCCTAACGGGCAGGCGGTAGAGCACGACGCGCTGGGCAGCAGAGCGCGATGCGCGGGCTGCAACAGGGCGCGACCCGCAGGGCACCAGGGCACGGGGCAGGGCAGGGCGTGCGCGAAGCAGCGCGACGTGGGGCAGGGCAGGGCGTGCGCGATGCACCGCGACGTGGGGCAGGGCAGGACGTGCGCGATGCAGCGCGACGCGAGGCAGGGCAGGGCGTGCGCGGGGCAGCGCGATGCGGGGCAGGGTAGGGCGTGCGCGAGGCATCGCGACGTGGGGCAGGCCAGGGCATGCGCGAGGCAGCGCGACGCGGGGCAGGCCAGGGCGTGCGCGGGGCAGCGCAACGCAGGGCTGGGCGTACACGGGCAGTGTGACGCAAGGCAGGTCAGGGCAAGGCGCGAGCTGACGGCGGAGCGCAGGGCAGGGCGTAGGGTAACGCGGTAACTGCAGTCTGTCACTAAGTAATGGTGGGCCCGAAAAAAAAAAACGGTCATAGGCTAGGACCTGCTCTGAAACCATGTCAGAATAACGAACAGGAATGAATGAACTAGTAGCAGGATGGGTACATGTAGGAAACCCTAATTGGGTTGTACCCCATATGGGCTACCCCACTACAGCCTACACAATAAGTAGCATATAAGTTTGACAACGCGCTGTGCGCAGGGTTACAAGTTTAATAGGTCGACATTTCACTTTCACATCACAGATCCAACCACCCTCGTGTGCCAAGCCCTAACTTTCTTGTTCTCTCGTAACTCGTTAGGCTTTCCCTACCACCTAGCATCACTTAGCAGCAACTACTATAATGTCTTAGCTACTATAATGGCTTAGACTTAAACGCGGTTTGTGGCCAAACATGGTTTTTTAGTGGCTTGCGCAATGCTATAAGAAGCACCTAATTGGCTGTTTACGGCTAGAAATGTAGTTATTTAATAGGTGCGCGCCATAAACGTGTGTCATTAGCCAATTCCCGCCACCCCGCGGCACCTCCCCGATTTCCAACAACTTTGGAAACGTTGAACGCAAGGTCCCACACCAGGCTAGCTCTTGTGCGTGCACGGCAGTGCTAAAAAAAGCGCAACCGAGAGGCGCTAGCAGCCTCCATACCAGGCTCCATAGCGCACACTGCGACGCGCACGCCATCGTCACGCTCGGCTGTGCTACTCCGGCGGTCGTCGAGTCAGGAGGGGCAGATGCTGCGGCGGTTACAGAGAGGAATGCGTCTGGGTGGGTAAAAATTCCCCTTCAACCATGGGTTGCGGGCCAAGCGCCCGCTGAACAAGACGTGGACGGTGCGTAAGTGCCTACAGCAGAGGAGGTGGCAGCTGTAGCAACAGATTCGGCGAGTGTCTCGGCTGGCGAGAATGAGGAGGTGGAGGAGTAGGGGGCCGGGGAAACCAGGGTAGGACACAGAGGAAGGAGTGCACGGGGACGAGGCCAGGAAGAGGATCGGGCTGGTTGGGTGCAGGGTCGTTCAAGCAAAGCAGCAGGTGCAGTTCATGATGAGAGGCGCGTCGGCCTCAAGAGGTGTCCGAGGTGGGGGGAGGGTTAGTAGATTTGCACAGGGGGGTGGTGACGGTAGAGCGGAGGCTTCAGCCTTAGTAGATGAAGGGGCCGCACGTGCTGGGGACGCTGTTGCGAGCTGGTGGCACCAGTCGTGGCGGAGGGACGTTGGTGCAGAGATAACTCAAACAACGAGAGCTAGTCCACGGGCTAGGCACAGGTGTGAGGGTGATCACTATGTTCGATCCGCAGTCATTTGCTTGTGCTCTCACTGCTTGCTCATTCACAGGGAGATTTGGCAAGAGCTTCACTTGCAAAAGTTCACAGCAATGGTACACAATGGCAAGGCAACAACGACTACATCAGACGCTAGCATGCAAGCTGGTCAACTGCCAGCGCAGCACGGTCGACCGCGTTCTAGCACAACAAGGTCGACCACGCTCCAGCAGTGCAATGTCGCGGTCTGCCAACGCTGCAGGTGCACGGTGTACCAACACTGCAGTAAGTCGGCTGGACAGCGTTGCACCCATAGGTTAGCAGCGCACCCGCTTTGCAGGTGCTCGCAGCTGGTTGGCGTACTGTGCCTCGTCATTCGCACAGCGCAATCACCACGCCGACCACAGCCCACGTCTGCACCTGATCCTCCACGTCGTCCTCGAGATACCACCACCGAGGTCGGCCTTGCCAGAACCACCCGGGCGTCCGTCGCGTGCCTCCGCAGAACCATGTCACCCAGGTAACCTGGTCGACTGGGCAACCAAGTCGACCAGCTGCTTGTCCTCATACCCGTCGACCACCCCGATCAACGACCACCTCTGTTCGACCACGCCAACTCAACCATGCTCGTCGACCAGCAACCAAGTCGACCAGCCCAGCTGTCAGCCGACCACCGCAAGTCGGCTGCCCGAAGTCGGCGTCCCCAAGTCGACGCCTCCGAGGTCGACCTCGCCATGTCGACCACCCGAACTCGGCGCCCTCCAAAGCCAGCGCCCCTCCCAGGTCGACGTCTCCCCTTGTCGACCACCACTAGGTTGAAGTCGGCCACTGGCTCCCCAAAGTCGGCGGCCCTGCAGTGGCCCCGTGCAGGTCGACCAGATCGTCGTCCTGCACGCCGAAGTCGGCATCGGCCTCTGCTGCCGGTCGGCTGCATCTCCCACACACCCGACCACGGAGTCGGCTCCGCCCAAGCAAGGACGGGGCCAACCACAACTTCCGTTGACAGTCTGGGGGCATTCGGCGTAGGACGAAGCGTGCGAGGGAGGTGACACCGAAGGACCCTCTTGTCGAGAACTTGGCTGGAAAATCCTACCTGGGGTTACTAGTGGGAATGTTTGGCAAGATGGTGGATGATTGACGTGCGTGTCGGAAATGTAAGCACCTGCTTGTTTGGGGGTCGGGTAACACCAGCACTGGGTGGAGGCACATGAAGCGCAACCATTACCATAACGTGCAGATTTGGTTTCGTCGGTTCTTGGATCCGGCAAAGCCAACGAATCTGCAGTTTTCTCTTGTAGGTCACGGGATGGATGGGAAGGGCCCAGTCGTGCCTGATGGGGATGGATCATGGGAACACACGGCAAGCTGGCCGAACATCCCAGCCACAGCTACGGGTGGAACTGCGGAGGGGGCGGGAGGGCGCACGAGTGGTGGGAGTCGTGCAGCCAGCTTGTCCGCGTACATCACCCCTAGGGTGCAGGAGCAGGAGCTGCGCTTTGCCCTGGTGGAGTTGTTCACCGACGGCGATCTGCCATTTTGCCTTGTCGATCGGCCATCTGTGAGTCCTAGTTCGGCTCTATTATCGCATTGTGTGTGTCATTGTCATTGTATGCATATAGCTTATCCATTGCTCGTGATATACGTTGCTCAATTCCCATCCTCGTTAAGCGTGTCATTCATTGTCCAGGGTGGGTTGTTATGGTCGTAGTCCATTCCATCCCACAACAGTTCCGTTGATTTGTCAAGCTGCTGAACCCCGGGGCCGAGGGTTGCTAGGGACGCGTTATCAATTGGCACGGGACATGCAGGCATACACAGATGCCGCCAGGGCAGAGTTGAAGCAGGAGCTGATTGGTGATGGTCTCGTTGGCGGCTGTCGCTGAGTACAAATATCTGGACTAGTGAGAACCACCTTGCTTTTATGGTCGTCATAGTGCGCAGGATCACTAGTGACTTCCACCTATGGCAACACATCCTGGATTTAATGCAGTTGGAGGGCTCGCACACCGCTTTGCTGATAGCGAAGACCCTTGAAGGCATTCTGGCAGAGTGGGGACTGACTGAGACGTTGTTCGCTGCCACTACGGATAATGCAGAGAACAACAACAAGGCCATGCGCATGCTTGCATGGGACCCAGCGGAGGGCGCTGAGTCGAAGATGGCGTCTCCGCTGTTCGACGGAGATCGCCACGTACGGTAAGTTAATCGATACGTAACTCTGGTGTCTCTGACTTGTCCCTGCATTGCTGCCGTACCATGGGCCACCCTACGCCTACAACCATATTCATTTCAACATCCTCTCCCTTATGCGTTTGTGCCATGCTTGCACAACTGCACTGCACATGTCATGACATTGCAGTGCAGGCGGGATTGAAGGTGGATGAGGTGGCGAGGCGCTGAAGCGTCTTCGAGCAGTGTGTTAGTTAGTCGGGTGGTCGGTTCAGCGTTTGGAGCACTTTGCCCAGCAGCAGCACATATTGTTGCGGCGGGATGATGCACCCGTGCTTCGTCTGATCAGTGATTTGCCGACGCGGTGGGGGTCCACGTATGACATGATTGCCCGAGTGTTGGAGCTGCAGCAGGCTCTGGCACTGTTCCTCATGAGGATGGACGTGCTTATTGGTGGTGGTGGTGTTCGGGGGCTGGGTTGGTGGTGGTGTGTCTGTTGTGACTGTGGTCAAGGGTTCTGCTTAGGGGCTGGAATGTTGGATAATGTATTGTGTTGTGATTTTTTAAACCCACCCTAGAACATTCATGCTATACTGTACTCTTCTTCCATCCACCAGCCCCCCCCTTCCCCCCCTAGCTACGCGAACAGCTGGATGGCCTTCGGCTGACCGACGTGCATTGGGAGGCTCTCGTCGAGCTCAAGGAGTTCCTCGAGCCATTCAACACCATCACAAAGGCAGCCGAGGGTTCCTTGTACCCCACGGCTGCTTCAGTCGTGCCGTTGTACAACCAGTTGCTCGACAAGCTAGAGATCTCCTCTCGCAAGGAGGGTGTCACTCCCCTCCGACAGGCTCTCGACTCTGCAACCCTCGCCAAGCTGAAGAAGTTCAAGTACGGGGAGAAGGAAGAGTTGGTGATTGCCACCTTCCTGGACCCCCACTACAAGATCGTCTTCTTCCAGCTGCCGAAATGGGAGGCGCGCAATGCTGCGCACGTCACAAAGGTGGGGGGGTGTGCTAGGAGGGTGCAAGATGTAGATGAGGAAACGGTGATATGGCTGGTGCATGTGCGTTTGGCCAAGTACTAGGCGCGAGTGAGCAGCCGCCGGCAGGGTGGAGAGGTCACAAGCAAGTTGGCGGGGGGGCATTGGGCCCAGCGGCATTACTGGTGGGACCTTGGGCGCGACGGGTGCTGCTGGAGGTGGGGGAGGGGGCTTTGCGCACTCCATCTTTGACGATATGAAAGCTCTGGAGGTGGGGCTCAGTATGAGGTGGACTGCTATTTAGCTGAGCCCAGGCAGAAAGGTGGTTACCCGTTGGCATTCTAGCGGGCGATGGAGGATTTCGACGCTTTGAGGGAGATGGCTCGAGACTATTTGGCTGTGCCCGCCACTTCTGCTGCTCAAGGGTGGAACGTTATTACATGGCAGCGCCACCGCCTCACCGCTGGCCGTGTTCGCGCCGTCATGGCAATCAAGTCATGGATCGCGTAGAACACTAGCAGCAGGAGCCTCAATGTTGCAGGGGCCGCCCGTTTGCTCGACGAGCTTTGTTATGAGGGTGAGGGTGATTGGTTATGACTTGTGGCTGGCTGTGACCGTGGGCACGCGGTTGTTGTGACTGTGGGCGTGTGGTTGTTGTGACTATAGTGAATCTATTGCACCACTTAGAAGGTGCATGAACTATTACATATCTATTGTTAGTTAGTTCATACAATGAAGGGATGTGACTGAGTGTTATGGTCTGCAGTCCACTTCTTCAAAGGATGCCCATGAAACCCCCTAAGCAGAATCTGACGTCTTCAAACCGCCTCTGTTCAAAACGCCATCACGATCAGCTCCAAACTTATACAAGGCTGAAACTTGGACAGCGGTTAGCCTTAGGTGTCTGCTTTCCAACGGTATATTATTTGCTATTATCAGAGGTGTGTGCACTACGCAGTGAACGAGAACATAAGCTCGGCGGAAAAACGTGTAGTTTCATTGATGCAAGGAAGAGGTGAGTACAACATTGCCTAGGGGGCTCATAAGGAGTTGGGTCATCCTGGGAACTCAGAGAAGGTTGAGTCCTAGGGGAGAAAGGCTAGAGAAGAATGGGAAACCTCCTAGCTAGGTCAGCAAAGCCAACCACACTTGGATGTTCAGAGCTGTACTCAAGGCTACCAATAGTGAGTCAAGCCAACATGAGTCAGCTTGTCTTCCCACTTGCACCCTCTTGCAAGCTGCTTCCAGGAAGACCACACTTCTCAAAAGGAGGGTTGTAGAGTCCCACTTGACCAACTGTACTTCTTGTCTCGTTCTCTGTCCCTGCACCATTGGCATGACAACAATGAAAGGGTGGCAAGGGAAATGCTGCCAACAGTGCACCATAACCACGGAACAGTGAATTTCGGCAGATGTCACGCAATTCTCAGATGTTGGATCGTTCTGAAACTTGGTGACCACCTGCACAGCGTGGCAAAAGACTGCCAGACCGAATTTCAGACCAATCAGATCTCGGTAGACGAGTCAGCAGCCGAAATGGTGAACTCGGGTGTTACCAAAAAGGAGTAACACACACTTCCGGGATGCCATAAGTCTTGAAACATAAAATGTTGTCATGCCTTGGTAACTGCTTCAAAACCTCTGAAACTTTGAGGTTTTGAAGAACACATGTTGAACAACCTCCCCACAAAATTCCAGAAGCTGAGCAAGCTTGTAGGCCGAATGGGAGTGCGATGACCGTGCCACTGTAATGTGTTGGCACAACAAACTCCCCCTCATCGTGCTCTCATTCATCCCTTAGCTGCTCCCTGAAGCTGCCTCCCTTAGTTGAAGGAAATGCCACACAAGGTGGCACAGGTCCAATGCTGATGCTCTGCAAGCCGCTTGGTCAAGAAATCTGCAGGTTGCTTGGTAGTGTTGATGTAGTGCAAGGAGACTGTGCTCTTCTTCACCTCCTTCCTCACCCAATGCCATTTGATATGCATGTGCTTGTTCAGCCCATGGAGCACAGCATTGCGAGCCATTGCTATTGCTCCTTGGCTGTCACAAAACACAGGTGTAGGACCCTGTTGCTCCTGCCCCAACTCCTCAAGCAACCTCCTCATCCAAACCACCTCCTTCACCCCATGAAACAACGCCATGTACTCGCTCTCTGTTGATGAGTGAGCTATCTCCCCTTGCTTCTTAGACTTCCAGCTCACTGGACTCCCTCCAACACAGCATACATAGCCACCATGAGATGTTGCATCACTGATGTCACTTGCCCATGTAGCGTCGGTGAAGCACGAGAGGTACAAGTGTCCACGCCTTGCAGGTGCACCGGTCTTTGTGCTCACCTCCTCCACTCCCTTTTGCTTCAGCTGCCCATGCACTGAATATTGCAGCCCCACCCTTGAGGTTGCCATGCAGTACCTCACCAGCCTCTCTGCTGCATCAAGGTGCTCTTGAAGGGGCCTAGACACCACACGAGCCAGCTGCGAAACCGCAAATGAAATATCGGGGCGAGTGTTGACCGAAGCATACATCAAGCTCCCCACCATTGACTGGAACCGACGCTGCAACTCAGGCTCCAACACCTCACCCTCCTCTTCATCAAGGTGTAGCTGAAACCCTGAGGGTAGAGGAGTCTTCACACTCCTCCCTTCCTCCAGCCCATACCTCTCCCCCATGGCTGCAAGGTACTTGTGTTGGTGAAGCCTCAACCATCCCTTCACCTCGTCCCACTCCACATGAAGACCAAGGTAATACCCCACTGGTCCAAGGGCCTTGCATTTAAAGGTCTCCTTCAGCTTCCCTTGCACCTCCTTGATCCTCTCTAGTGATGGAGAGAAGAGGAGAATGTCATCGACGTAGACAAGAAGAAACACCTTCTCCTCCTTCCCCTCGGTCATGAAGAGACTCTCGTCGCACCCGCTGACTTTGAAACCAAGAGCCTCCAAAGCCTCCACCAGCCTTGCATACCAGCACCTTGGAGCTTGTTTGAGGCCATAGAGGGCCTTGTTGAGCCTGCAAACACGTCCGCTCCCATCGTCATACCCCTCTGGCTGCTTCATGTAGATCTCCTCATCTACCACGCCATAGAGGAAAGCCGTCTTCACATCCATTTGCTCCACCTTCCAACCACAAACGGCAGCTGCTGCCAGCAACACCCGAAGCGTAGGAGCCTTGGCAACAGGAGCAAACACCTCCTTAAAGTCAACCCCCTCCCTCTGCTGGAAACCCTTGATCACAAGTCTTGTTTTGCGCCTCTCCAACTTCCCCTCCGCATCGGTCTTCACACGTAATATCCACGTGCAATCCAATGCCTTTCTTCCAGGGGGCAGATCAGTGAGGGTCCATGTTCCATTCTCCATGAGGCTCTGAAACCCATCCTCCCTTGAAGCCAACCAAGCCTCTCGATCATCTCCAGCAAGTGCTTCCTCCATTGAAGCCGGTTCATGAGGTAAGTTGACACCGAAGCAACAAATCTGCTCCATCTCTCCCTCGGCTCCCTTCTCATCATCTTCCTCCTCCTGGACCAGCAATGCCTTGGGACCCCCAAGCCTTTCATACTTGAGGAAATCCCTTGGGTGAGCAGCTCTCTTGGGCCTCTCCTTGGCTGCACCCTCCTTAGCTCCACCGCGGACAGCACCACGCTTCCCTTGGGTTGTCCGCCTTGATGGAAGTGAAGGGGATGATGTTGGCTGCTGCACCTCCTCCCCGGCATCACCTCTCTCAGCTACAGGAGCCTCCTCTTGCTGCAAAACTCCTTCCACCTCTGTTGCCTCCCCTTCAGCACCTCCCAAGTCATGTGACACCTCCGTTACCTCTGAAGATGAAGACAACTCGATGGGAATGAGGAGTGGGTCATTCGTTCCCACCTCTATTCCGAGCGGAATGGTGACCTTGCTCCTCCCTCGCTCCAACCACTCCTTGAACATGAGCCCCTCCATGAACTTGGCATCTCTGGTGGTGAAGATGGTGTTGTTGACTTTTGGGTCCCACATGAGCCACCCCTTGCTCCCTTGTGCAAGTCCCAAATGAACAGCCCACACCGCCGCCGCTTGAAGCTTGTCACGCTTCTCCTTAGGGACGTGCACGAGTCCCATGCACCCAAAGACTCGAAGCATATCCACCAGGGGCTTCTTGCCTCTCCACTTCTCCATAGGGACCCAATGCTGCCCTCCCACATGAGTCAATACTCGGTTCTTGATGACGGTGGCATGGCGAATAGCGAGGGGCCAGAATCATAAGGGTAGACCCGAGTCTACCAACATCGTTCTCCCGCCCTCCAAGATGGTCCGGTTCGCTCTCTCTGCCACGCCATTGGATTGAGGGGTGTAGGCTGTGGCGAGCTGCTGCTTGATGCCGTGCCGCTTCAGCCAGCTCCGGAACTCCGCTCCCAAGAACTCCCCACCACGGTCGCTACGAATCGCCTTCACCCGCTTGCCGCTCTCTCGCTCCACCATGGGCAGCCACTCTTCAATGATGACCCTTGCAGCATCACTCTTCTTTGCAAGTGGAAAGGACCAGGTGAGCCTTGTGTTGTCATCCACCATGGTCATGGAATACAGGGCCCCACCATCTCCCTTCACCTTCATGGGTCCCACGAGATCCACATGCACGAGCTCCACCGGGTCACTCGACTTCCCCTCCACCGAATGGAAGGGAAACCGTGAAAACTTGCTGGTCAAGCAAGTCTCACAAGATCCCACCTCCTTGGGCTCCCCCTTTATCCTCAGCCCCTGGACTCTTTCCTCCTTAAACAGCTGCTGCAACTGAGGTAGCGCCACGTGGCCAAAGCGACGGTGTGCGGTGAGCCAATCCGTCTCACCCGTGCTAGGAGTTACACTTGGAAGCGCAGCCCCTCCATGCCCAAGGAGCCCACCATCACTGTCATCACCACCCCCTCCATTGTCCACGTGGTTAACACGCCCTCCTCTCACATCTCCAGCAGCCAAGCGCGCAGCCGCCTCCTTCCATGGCAGCACCGGTATCTCCCACATGGACCGGTGCATGTCCTTGCCGCCTCGGAGGTCCCACAATACGCGCCCATCCAGAGTTGCCTTGAAAGCCTTTGTGCCCAACATCTCCATCTTCATCCCTGCCTCACTTAGGGCCTTGGT